AGCTCCACATTTAAAAACTGTATCCCAACACCATGTTGAGCAGTTAACAGAAGTCATGAAGCAGTCCGTTCTGTCTTTTTAAATGCTTTTAACTTTCATTGAGAAAAGTTTGTTGTACAAAGGCAAACCTGAATTCCTCATATTTAGTGTACTGAAAAAAAACTTGAAACAACTACTACTACTAATAATAATAATAATAAAAAAATGTTAAATTAAATAAGTATGGTATGTCTATTGATTTGTTTTGATAATATTGAGCCTAACACTTTGTAATTATATTTTCACAACAAATCTTTGTTTTCAGTGCTACTGAATATTCAAATGTAAAGGGTGAAATTTTCACAAGCACTGATCCATGGGTGGTAGGAAAGCTAGGTGGGGGAACACATTGCTTTTCCAAACCACCAGCCTGGCCCCACCTGTACTCTACAGCTACTCCCAGTGGTAGGTGTACTGGGGGTGTAGTGTTGCTTAGTTACAAGAGGCTGATAAGAACCATTAGCACCTTCATTGTTTGGTTGATTGGTTAAGGTCAATGCCAAGTACTTTTGAAAATCTCACCCAACATGCTTTGTAAACTTCTCCTTTGTTAATGTCACATAGAATCACAATGCATGTTTTGAAAGATGAATTAAACTTTAAACACTAAAATAGTTTAATTCCAGCTTAGCTATTGTACAATTCAAACAAGTGGGTAATACTGGGTGTGATAAATGTGCTGTTGCCATCAGAATGGTGTACAGATTTACTTCTTTCTTTCTGTATATGCTTTTAGATTATGTTTCCATGAGAGTTGAGGATGATGATGAAGCTGTGATAATTGAAAATTCTGAAGATGCAGAAAATGGACTGTCCACACAAGACTGTGTGTCAGTGGAACAAAGTGCTCCAGTAAACAGTGATGATCACTACATGACTCAACTTACATATGGTAAATACAGTGAATTCTTCTGAGAGTTAATGCCCATTGTCCAGTGCTCAGTGATTCTATCTTTAACACTGTATTGCCCATTCCTTTTTCTTTTCTGTGTGACTCGAAAACCTTAAAAAGCTACTTATTAATAGCTAATAGTTTGATAGTATTGTTTAATACAAGTAACTTTAGAATCTGTTTCCCTTTCAGGTTCTTCTCTGTTAGTGGTATACCAAGTGGAAAATTAGATTTAAGAATATTTTTTCTTGCATATACATTAGATTTTATTATTTAATTAGCATCTTTGTAAGATGGTCACCCAGGCAGTGGGGAGCCCTGGCTGGGGGACAGCATTCAGCATGGGTCATCAGGGAAGGGACCTCCTCTGGTCCAGTAAATCCCCTAATTTGGGACTGGTCAGGCCCCGAAGGTGCTGGACCAGGGAGGTCCAACCTGTACTGGAAATTGCCATTTGCACATGCTCAGAAAAATTTGCTAAAGGGTTACTGTAAAATTTCCACAGATTTCATCTATATGGGCAGTTTTAATCCTGATGTCATACCTTTTGAGTGCTTGATTTTGCAATCTTAGCATAGAATTTGTATGTAATTGTAGTGTCTCTGTTTTTGATTATGTAGTTAGAGACACAACAGAACTTCCAGCATACAGGAACTGTCCTATTCCTGAGACCTTACGGCTGTGTCTACACTGGCCCCTTCTTCGTAAGAGGCATGCTAATTTCTAACTTTGGAATAGGGAAATCCGCGGGGGATTTAAATATCCCCCGCGGGATTTAAATGAACATGGCCGCTGCTTTTTTCCCGGCTTGGGGAAAAGCCAGAAAAGAACGTCCAGACTGGCGCGATCCTCCGGAATAAAGCCCTTTTCCGGAGGATCTCTTATTCCTACTTGAAAGAGAATAAGAGATCCTCCGGAATAGGGCTTTATTCCGGAGGATCGCGCCAGTCTGGACACTCTTTTCCGGCTTTTACCCAAGCCAGGAAAAAAGCGGCGGCCATGTTCATTTAAATCCCACGGGGGATATTTAAATCCCCCGCGGATTTCCCTATTCCAAAGTTAGAAATTAGCATGCCTCTTCCGAAGAAGGGGTCAGTGTAGACACAGCCCAGGTGTCTAGAAGGAAAGTAGTAGGGTCAGAATGAAGAGATAAGATACACTAGGGATGGGCAACCACAAATACTGGGTGGGCCACGAGTGGCCGTCCTTCACCTCAGTGGGCGACAGCAGCCTCCGGCCCACTGAGTTCCGCTTGTGGGCCCCATGGCCCCTTGTCTACTCCTCTTCACCTTGCCCCTCATGCTTTGGGGCACCAGACCTCCACACTTACCTGCTGCTCTCCCTCTTCCAGCACTTTTGTAGTGTGCGAATCACCTGATTCTTGCTCTGTTCCTGATCCTCTCCCTCCCAAAGCTGGAATGCTGCAAATAGCTGTTTTGTGGCATTCTAGCTCTGGGAACGAAGAAGCGCGTGCATCAGGGACTAATCAGATGATCCGTGGCTCTTCAGAAAGTGCTGGGATGGAGGGGAGAGGCTTAATAAGTGAGGGTGTTTGGGGGAGGAGCACAGCCAAGGCATCCTTGGGCCAAAGGTTGAGCCCCAGTGGGCCACATGCAGGTCACAGGTTGCCTTCCACTGCGAGGTGGAATTGGTTAGATCTATGATTTGCTGAGTGCAGAGCAGGAGGGTGCCTGCGTGTACATTTCTCCATTCTACCCCCAGTCCTGTTGCAAGTTGAGGCAGCTTCATGAGTATTAATAATTGTTTGTAAAACAATAGAACCTAAGTACCACAGTGGGAGATGAGGGCCATCCGATTGTGCTAGGCCCTGTACAAATGCATAACAAATAGAGTCCCTGCCCCAAGCAGCTTACAACCTGAGTACAAGATGAGAGCCCTGCTGGTGAAATACAAAAATAAAGGGAAGCCCAAAATAACAAGGGGAGGATTATTCCCTATCTTGCACTGACTGATACCAGCTCTCAAGGAGCAATACTGCCTGTTAGAGGCACTCCATTACCCTGCCAGACCTTCTTTTCCTGTCCTCCTTTTTTTTTTTTTTTTTTTTTTTTTTTTTGGGTTTCTCCCAGGCCAACTTAATTTAGTCATGTAAAAGTTACAGGAGTATTAAAATAGAAGTTTGTCAATGACAAAGCATTTGTTTGCAGATGTACAGTTTTTCTATTAAATGTTTCAAACAATATGAGTTTTGCTCTAGATTATCAACTTTTGGGGGCAGGGATTGGAATCAGCTCTTTTTCTTTGCATGACTCGGCGCAGATATAAACGTGCTCAAAATTGAAGATAGGAGGAGCAGATACTTAGGGAAAGGAGAGATGACGGTAAAACAAATACAAATAATGGCAAGTTCTGTATTGCACTGTGAAAGATGTGATTAAATTCTGATTTTTAGATTTTAGATTTTTGTTCTGTGCGGGTTTTTTTAAATGGAGTATAAGATAAGGCAAGAAGAAAAGATGTGGGTAACTCAGGAGTGAAAGTCAACCGCCAAAAGAATAGCAAATGAAATGCATTTTGAGGAGGAATTGGCAGGAAGAAGGTTTAATACAATTTAATTAGAAGATATGATGGGCGAATAATTTAATGCTTTATAGTTAGTGAATAATTTTAAATTGCCAGGATGCTGAAGTTTTAAAAATAAGCTACTGTTCTTGCTTTCATGGCAGATGTCTAATCATAGATGTCAAGGCCAAAACAATTGTGATAGTCTAGTCCAGGGTTTCTTAAATTGTGTTCCGTGGCACACCGGTGTGCCTTGAGGCAGTCGGAGGTGTACTGCCAAGAACAATAGAGTTCAAAATTGCCACCCTTAAAGGGGCAGGCAGTCTTTTTTTTGCATCTTTTTGGGGGGTTTTTACTCAATAACTTTCCACCGTGACCTCCTCCCTCTCCCTCCCCCCCCCTCTTTTTTTTGCTCAACAAAAAAATCCTTGATGTTTCTCATAAAAAAATATTGTTTGGAGTTCCTCCTCTTAAAAAGTTTAAGAAACACTGGTCTAGTCTGATCTTCTGTATAACACAGGCCATAGAATTTATCTGAAATAATTCCTGTCAGTGCAGTCATTGAGTTTCTAACATGCTTTCTTTTAACTTGGGCTTTTACAGGAGAGGAAGGTTTGTCAGTACTGAGTGAGCCAGCCGTGTCACAGATGAGCCATTCTACAAGCGTGCAGCGAGATGGGCAGATTCCAGAAGACATGGAGTTCGTATTTTTGCGTAAAAGACGGCGGCTTACCCCTTCTCTGATGAGAAATAGCATGGTATGTTTATCTAAACAAACACTTGTTCTGCTTTTTTGGCAAATTGCAGTGCTAGCAATTTAGTTCTCATTTGAAAGAATTGTTTTATACGTCCCCTTTTTGGAATTATTTGTATTACAGTAGTAACAAGAGGCTCTTATTAGGGTTGAAGCTGTAGATATTGTACACGTGCACAGGAAGAGACTGCTCCTTTCCTGAAAAGCTGACCGTCTAGATTGGTCCTGCAAGCAACCCTTTGACATGCAAGTTCATATTCTTCTAAAAAACTGAATGCATTAGGGACACTTGCTTTCCTTCCTTCAAGGTTCGCAGGATGTGAAAGATGGAATGATACCAACCATCCTTTCTTTCCTTTTGACTGAAGGGCAAATCATTGGGCAAATTATGTCCAAAGATAGAGCATGCAGCTCTCGTATTGATGCTTGTTTGTGGGCAGACCTTGGTTCATAGCATGAAACTAGGCTTTCTCAGCCAGCTGAAGAACATAAAAGAAAAAAAGTTTACATTTGAAATATCAGCAGTCAAAGTAGTGTCGTGGGTACTAAAACAGGGTGCCGGATTATATTTAAACTCTGCCAGTATTACATATAATATCATTTTTCATTTGACTAATGTGACAAGAATGTGATATAATTTAAAAAAAAAAATGCAAAATAACTTATGCTGGTCAAGAATGGCTTCTCATAGTTTATGAGCGTAAGGAGTCTTTTTTTACCTTTTATTTTTAAGTCACTTTGTCCACAGGGTGGCACTGTTGATTCCTGTCTATAGACAATTTTCATATAACGGGAAACTATGGACATGTATACACTGCAATTAGAAGCTAGCCTGTGCCAGCTGACTTGGGCTCACAGGACTCAGGCTGCAGGGCTATTTAATTGCAGAATAAATGTTTGGACCTATGCTGCAGCCCAAGCTCGGGGATCGCTCCAGCTCTTAGGGTACTGGAGCCCAAGCTTTTTGGTACAGTCTAGCCATACGTTTTAATAACAATATGGACATTAGGGATGTTAAAAGGCATTTAAGTAACAATATAAATGCTGAAAATTTCAGCAGTTACATGAAGGGCGGCAGTTTGCTCCCAACTTCTCTCTCTCCCCTTTCCCACAGTGGCACTAATGCAGGAGGTGAAGGTCAGGCAGCTCCCTGGAAGCCAGTGCTCCCTACGCATACCAGGCTCATTGGTTAACCATGTATACAGTTACACTTTCAAATCCCTAGCAGACATATCCTATTTCTCCTAGCTTAAGAAAAGGCACTTCCATTGTCTCTTTTAATGTTACCTGCATGTTTTTTGTCTGCTGTTTTACTTAAAATGATCTTTTCTGAATAAGAGACCATGCCGTAGCTGTTTAGTTCTTCACATTAGTGCAGGAGGGGCTTGTGTTAAAACAGAAGATCTTTATTTTTAACTTTTTACATCCACTTTAGCAACACACAACCTAGAACCTAATCCTAGTGACAGTAAGCAGCATTCTGTTCTGAAAACATTCATGGAAACCTGCATTCATATGGAAAAGGCCACATTTTAACTCTCCAGACGTATCCTTGCATAGCAATAATAATTGCTCGAATAGTTATGCCCAGGGTTCGCCAAGCCACGGCAAGCCCCGCTTGCCAGCCGCACTGTCTGGTGATCTGTGCATGCGCAGATCGTTGTGTGCATGTGCAGATTGCCCGAACCTGGCTTTTCTGGGTTGTAATCTACTCACCACGGGCGAGTAGATTACGTAGATTGTCGAGCCCTGGTCATGCCAGAGAACGTTAGTTCTTAAAGGGTACAAGGTCATACAGTGTCAGATCAAGTTTACTCCAATGTGTAAGGACTTGTCTGTATGCAAAATAGCACTGGTTTACACAAATGTGTAATTTTTTTAAAAATTGACTCATTTACACTATCACAAAAGGCTGTGATACTTTTAAATTAATATTAAAAGTAGATACTTTTAATATTAAACCTGGTAAATGTTTGAGTGCCTAAAACAATGGGGTCTTGGTCTCTAAGGTTTACCAAAATACATTCGTAACTATTTAAAATTGACTTGAGAACAGTTTAAGATCTACTAAAATAAGAACATCTAACAGGCTTTTACACTGGTTCTCTAAATCTATTTTAAAAACTGATTTAAATTAAACCTTTTTACAACTGAGGCCTTGCCAATAAGTAAATAATAATTTTTTGTGAAACAGTGAGTGGAATGATTTCAGTTTTTAAAAAATGCAGTGAAGTTTTAATAAACATTCCCTGCAGCCTAAACACTTTTCCATTGGTTACTCACATACTACAACAATCTTGACTATTAACTGACTACAAACCAAGTGAAATTGAGTAGTTTTGTTCCACCTGAGATTAATGCAGCAAATAAACTTTATAAGATGTGAAACATTTGGATTTTGATTATCTTTAGTTTTTAGTAAACTCATGTCAATCAAAAATATGTGTGTACACACACACAATTAAACTTGTTGTAATTATTATAAAAGAAAATTGACTTGACAATTTACATGTCATAGTTTTGGTGTAACTAATACTAGAACAAAAATATCTTAAGCTGCTGTTTTTTAATAGCTCCTTCTCGTTGTTTTCCATCCCTAATGTGTTGAGCCAGTGTTTAGGGTCCTTGAAAAATATATAGGTCATCTAGACTGCTTTATGCCATTTATTATGTGATTATTCCTCATTTTACATGTTTCTTAATATTTTTTTCTAGATAAGAGCCAGGGAAACAGAATACGAAGATGATGGAAGTGTCATTTATGAATATGAACCAGATTATGAATGTGTAAGTTTTTATTTTTTACTGCTTTATTTCTTTGTAATGACTGTTGCTTTGGGCCAGAGGTGTTCCTTATAAAACCAGTTTTTGTTCATTTCTTTTTCTAAACATTATATGAGAGCCTAAAGCTGGGTGTTTCTCTGTTTATGTTGCTGGTTGCAAACACTCATGATTTGAAGTTTCATCTTAGTTTTTTTAAATTTTGGAATGAAACAGGGAAGTGTTCTGTCTGAAGCATCCTACACAGGAGATCAGCAGAAAACCCTGATGGAAGTCCTCAACTACTGTCAGGTACCACATTTTTCTCTTTGGAATAATTTATAAACGTCGGCAAAAAACACGGTAAAAGTACTATCCCTGATGTATATGCTACTTTACCATCAATTTGCAATTCAGTTGCATCCAGTTGCTCATTTCAACAAACTTGACTTGGCTTAACTGCAAATGCGTTTTTGCTTATTTTGTATTGATGTTTTTATATGCAGCCATTGAGCTTTTTACATTATAATCAACCTGAGAGTGTGTCCAAAAGTTTAATATTAATACATCATATGTAATATGAAGTCCATTGACTTCAAGGAGTTGGAAAGTAGTGGAAATAGTTGGTATGTAAATTTTGAAGATAATGGAGGTTTGCTTTTAGAATATTGCATTATTTAGGATCTTGTTCAGGCTGAATTAGGAGAATGTATTGCTTCTATTATCTGAAGTAGTAACTGGCAAACTAAATAACTGCACCAGTGAAGATAAAACCAAATTAATTCCTTACTCACATAGATGAACAGTTATAGTAGGGCTACTCCTGAAAGCAATGGGTTGATCCTCTGTCTTTTAGGGAGCATCTCGTTTTGGAATGACTAATGGGCAAATGTTAGTTAATGTCAAGTACGCCTGACTGCTTGCGCCAGGGTTGCATAATGAAGTCATGGTGCATTGCTTGTAATACACAATAAAGTTTTTATTGCACATTATTATGCTGAAGTATTTAATGGCTCTTTAAAACATACTTTATTTTATTTTTTAAATTTCTTCACTTGTCCTTTCAATTTTTGTGGTTTTATAGCCACATTTTTCAAGATGTCTTTCTCTCCCCATTTGTTGAGTGACAAAAATCACACAAACAGCAGGAGAAACCAACTTTGCTATGGAAACAGTGATGTTGACCATAAGCTTTGTAAACAACTTGTTTCCTCTTTACTCATTAGTTCAGTAACCTCATGCATTGCTTATAAAAATAGTAGACAAAATTGTTCAAAGGTGTTATTTCTTGAACTGTATATAACAGTATATATGTACAGCTATTAACCTTTGAACTTGAATTTGATTTACATGACTCTTATGTCCAGGGCTTGACAAGCAGTGGCGAGCCCTGCTTGCCAGCCGCTAGGTTTGGCACATTGCGCATGCGCCATGGGCGAGTATATTGCCCTAATTGTCGAGCCCTGCTTATGTCTGAAATTTTGGGTTTTACAGTACTGTTACTTTAAAACTTTTACATCTGATCCTTGAAGTAAGGCAAAGCCAATTTTTAAATCTCTGAGAGACTCGTATTACTGAACATGAAAAAAGACTGAAGATTAGCCAAAATATTCTGAATACTTTCAACCAAATAAGTGGTTTTCAAATTGTGTTTGTGCTTTTTCCCTTGAGTATAGTCAATGTGTGTGCAATTGACGTCAGCACTATAATAATTTCAAGTCTTGGAGCTAAAACTATTGCTCTCTAGCTCACCTACACTTGTCATTTTACTTTAGCGTGCATATTCCTCCAAGGTATGTACAAATCAGTACTTCATGAGCAATTCATCAGTACCTTATCCACGTATTTGAAAATATATTAATCTATTTTTAATGTCTCTAACTACCCATAAAGCAGTGTTGAACCTATGATTTAAATGTTATGACACTTCAGATCACACATAATAATTCTTCTTGTGCCATTAGTCTACTTCCAAGTTTGCTTGATATCTCTTTAATGTGAAATAAAATGTACCATTATATTAGATAAAAAACAACTGTACATTGGATGCAGTAGGAAGAACAACTTTTCAATTCCAGTCGTGCAGAAGGATGTTAAAACAGCAAGAGTAAGTCCCTGAAATTAGATTTTCCAAACGAAGCATACTTTTTCAAGCTTAACATTTACCATATTGTTAACTTTCCCTGTTGTGCATAAATAAACCAGCCTTTAATTCACTTACTAAATGTAGTATTATCCACTGAACTATTCCAAAGTTTAGACATAAGTTAAGAAGGGAACTTCAACCTTACTGAAATTTCCTTGCTTTTGTCAAATTTAAATGTAAAGTCTTTTACTTATTTTTCCTCTAAAAGTAGAAATATTCCATTAATTTGTATGTTTATTGCCAGGCCATGTATGATGCTATTCAGAAGTTGGATAAGAAATTTGACCTGCTTCATCGAAAGGTTTCAGAAATGCAACACAACCGGATGAAGCCATTACTCCTCAAACCTGTGAGTATTAAAGATCTGTTCCTTTAATTTCTACTGATATTTGTAAAGGATTAAACTCTCTCCTCACCTTCTACTGTGGTCAGAAGTGGGTAGAGCATCCATTAGAGGCAGGTGATTATTTACTATTTGGCATTTGTGAGCTCAATCCCCTTTTAGTGTCATAGTGGCCAAAGATCCTAATCAAAATCAATTTTCTAGGATAGGTGGTGTACAAATCCATTTCCATTGAGGAGGCAAGGAGAAACCAGTTCAGGGGTTATACCATCAGCTGGTGTGAATTGGTGTAGCACTACTGACTTCAAAGCAGCTATACTAGTTTACATATAATGAAGTTTTGACCCATTAGTCTGCTGACAAAGGAGGAAAGTTCTCTGCATAACTCTCACGTTGGCTGGTACGTTTTTTAAAGGGATTTAAGTGCTTTTCTATAAATACACCTTTATGTTACTGCACATTCAATCTATTGTTTAAACAGACAGAATATTAAGAATTGTGATCTTTTTTTTTAAGTAAACTGCATTTAAAAGAAAAGCATGAGAGATGGTTCTTGGGAATGGTGAGAGACGTGTATAGTCGTCAACAGTACTGAACAGTTTTTCTGATATAAAGTTGTTCAGCAGGCGTGAGATAATTTATCTGTCTATCTACCCATCACCAGAGCCACAAGGCCAGACAGAGAGAGAGAAGTTCTGAATTCATTGCAGTTGATGAAGCAGTACATTGTGGTTGTAATTTGTGTTCTGACAGCTTCACAGACTTGAATGTCCAATCATCCAAAACCATCAGAGAAGAGAGGAGTTTTGTCAGCCACTCTGGGGCACTGGGACCCAGTTCTCTTTCTCACTCCCCCCCACAACTCACATAGTCACAGGAGGCAGCAACGGCCTTAACATGCTCCTGAGTTTAAATATGACCCCAAAGAGACTTTTCAAAATATTTTTAAATTAGTTGCTTCTTTGATGTACAAAGAGAACAATTTAAGGCTGTCTTTGTTTTTTTTTATTTTTTAAAGTGCCTGCTAGAGTTTTACCAAATATTAAAATACCAAGAATGTCAAATATTCATAGCTCGTAGCTCTTGAAGTGACCTCCTGCATCACAAGCCATAGAAAAAAATCTCGTAACTTGTGTGTCTTGTCCAACAATGTGTGTTTGAACTAGCATGTATGTTTTAGATATCCAGGCCCAAGTTCACAAAGGGAGTTAGACACTGCAGCATCTAACTTTTAGGTACCCAGAAAATCACTGAAACAACAATGTGATTCAGATCCACAATGCCCAGAGAAAGATGGGTTCTAAAGCATGAAGTCCACAAAACCAGCATGTATGAACCAGTGGGAGATGCCAGTGGCCAGTGTATGTGCTAAGTCCCATCCCTGACACAGATAGGCACCTAAATCCAGGCTACAGAAAGATGCCTATGTCTCTTAGTAATCCACAGCTGTACTACCTTTCAATTAACAAAGAATTAAAGGGGGTCAATATAATTAATGCTAATCAGGATGGATTCATGGAAGATAGATCCTGTCTAACTTGATACCTGTTTGAGATTACAAATTTGGTTGAAAAATGTAGTAGTGTTGACATTATAGACTCAGTGCCACACAACATTTTGATTTAAAAAAAAAAACTAGAAAAAGAAGATGAAGGGGTAACTTGGTTACAAACTATAAGTAGGGAACAAATATTTATAGGCTCTTCAATGTAACAGAGAAATGTACAACAAGGTGTATTCGCTGTAAATTGAGGCTACACAAATTCAGACTTGAAGTAAATTGTAAATATTAACAGAGAGAGAAATTACCCATTGGAACAATCTACCAATGGTGTTAGTCAGTTCTTTATCTTGAATAATTTTTAAATCAAATTGAGTGTTTGTATAAAAGATTTACTCTAGGAATTCTTTTGGAGTTCTGTGGCTTGTATTGTCCACTCTGCCCTTCTGTGTAATCACAATGCTCCCTGATAGCCTTGGAAACTATTAAATCATTTCTGGCAAAAATGACTTAGAGGCCTGGTTTACTCCACCCACATGGAGGAGGAGGGCAGGAGGTGGTGAGGACCCACCTTATACTTTTTAGCCCAGTGATTGGAGAATTCACATGAGATATGGGAAAACCTAGTTCAATACCCCCATCTGCATGAGTGAGAGGATCTCTCACACCTCTCAGAAGAGTGCTCAAATCATTGAGCTAAAGGATATTCTGATGTGGGACTTCCTCAGTCTGTCTGGTTGATAAATACATAGTCATTGGTACCAGTGAGTAAAGATGATTGTGTAGACCAGTGGTTTAAGAAGTGCTGGGAGGTGGGAGACTGAGAACAGCATTGATAAGAGAGATTGAGAAGTCCAAACCAGAATATCCCCAGTGGTTAGAGCACCTTGCTAAGAGCTAGAAGTCTCCTGCTCAGTCCTCTCTCTTTCTGAAAAGCAGTGCTTGCCACCAGTGTCGCTTAGTGGCTACACAGGAGTGTGACAAGTTGAATGTCCAGGAGAAAAGACCCCTTTCTTCTTATAGCACTAACCTGCAGCCATCCTGTCCTTTTTGTGAGTCATTTCTCCCATCAGTCTACCTCTTTTGGGTAACGTGTCAAGACTCTAATAGTGGGGAAGTCTTCAGAATTCAGAGGGATTCAGAGCTTCCCCTGCGGTCTCGTGCTGTGAACCCTTGTACCTTCATGGCCATCCCTCAATTAGGTTCTATGCCTGACTTTCATATTTGTCCCACTTTAGAGGTTGTAGGGAAGATTGGTTCTGTGCTCTGTACTGGGCTCCCAAACCACCCTGGGGTGCTATGCTGCTGCCTCGCTGGATACTTGCTACCTGTCTCCCTGCAGGGTGACGTAAATAACTAAAACACAGAGGAAGAGTAAGGTTTCCCTTGTCAACCGATCCGCATCTTGAAATGGGGTTTTGTGCCTGGCTACATTCCACCCCCTTGACACGCCTCACTATGTCTCAGAACGCAAGATGGCGGTGATGCCAGCACCTTATTCTACCATAAACACCCAGGTGGCAAAATTCAGTTGGGGCGCTACTCAGTCCTGACTATGTCGAGTAGCCTAGTTTACGTGCCTCTGTTGGCAGAGGCATGTAGTCTAGACATACCCCTAGAGTAAGGCAGCAGGCACACCCAGAGGCAGAAACATAGGCCCTCGTGGAACTATTACCCTAAAAATGTAGGTGCTGATGTGAGTTCAGGCACCTATAGAGAGAGTCATCAGAGGAGAAAATTTTATGGATTGTAGTTCTGCCTAAAACTGGGACCTAGGGACCTAAATCTAGGAATTAGGTGCTTAAGTCCCTTGGTGGATCTGAACCTTAGCATTGATTAAAGACTCCATGTTAGGGAACATATCATAACTGTGTGTGAACTGTTCCAATAATTATTCTTATTAAAAATTAAATTTTGTTTTCAGTTTGAACTTTACGAACTTCAACTTTCAGGTGTTGAACCTTGTAACAATCTTGTCTAGTAAACTAAGGAGTCATGTAGCTTCTGCCTGGGTAGGTAATTTTAGGCCATGATCAAGTTGTCTTTTAAACTTCTCCTTAAATAAACAAAATAGACTGAACTCCTTTAGTCTATGATAGTACAGCATATTTTTCAGACAAATTATCACCCCTTTTGATCCCCTCTGTTTTTGCTGGAAGACTTGTGTATCTTGGAGGATGTACATTTTTAGCACTTATTCCATAACTTTGTTGTTTCATAGTTTCACAAAGATATTCTTTCTCCAAAATATTAATAACTAGAGGATTTACCCAGCGTTGCTTAGGTCATTAGCTGAAATCATTTTTTTTTTTCATTTATATCATTGTTTTGGGGTGGGGTAGGGAATGAGGATTTCGGAATGCAGGTTGCCCCAGGGAGAAAGGACAGGATACTGGGCTAGATGTACTTTTGGTCTGACCCATTATGGCTATTATGTTCTGACAGCTCCAGCCATCTTCACTACAGCATCTTGGGGCCAGGAGAGAAGCGCCTTCTCATGGCTATTGCAGCTGGGCAGGCACATCTGGGGGAAGGGTGAATGTCCCTTGACTGGGGGGAAGACAGACACAAAAACAAACAAATTCTCTTGACTGGGGGGCAGACAGACACAAAAACAAACAAATTCTCTAAAATATATATTACATAGATATCTCTTTCTCCACTCCCGTCACCTAATGGTGTTATAGCTGGCCTGGTTCTCATCTCTGGTCCCTAGGTGCCTCATGTAGTCATTACACAGTATCACTGTCCCTGCTAGCAGACCCCTGCCTTTCCGTTTTATGAGAAACAATCATATTCCAGGCACATCCCATTTTCCTGGCACAAACAAATCCTGACCTTGTTTTAAGTTATGATAAGAGGAAGCTGCATACCAAATTTGGTGGTCCTAGCTCTAACCTTTCAGGAGCAGTTCTTGAACAAATCAACTCAGAGACACAAACGCTCTCAAATCATATATATAGTAGCGCAGTGTCTCTGAGTCTGTAATGCTAATGTACACAGCCACACCCCCTGGCCGTGTACGTCAGCGCCCCGCCCCCCTTCCCCTCTCACCTGGACCCAGCTAAGCAGCGCAGTGCGAGCGCCACTCCGCTGGGCCCTGGCGGGAGAGGAAGGGGGGAGGGGGGCTGGACTACAACGCCAGGGGGCAGGGGC